GGGTGCCGACCCTTTGGCACTTGCTCCCTTTTCTCTGGCTGTTACCGAGTGCCCGATCCTTTCGCGTTATCCCATCGCACAGGTCTGGTCGGTACTGGTTTGTTTATTTCTTCCCCTGTAGGTTTTTTGCTCTGACTTCTCTTCGCTTGCTGTTCCTGGTTGCGTTTACCCTTATTGTAGTAGTTTGTCTGGATCAGTGGAAGAACAAAATCTGGCCTGAAATTGGAGGTAAGTTGAAACAGTTGAGTTGGTACCAGCAACTCAAACGTTGTTTTTAGCCCTGGAGGTGTATGTGCTCTGCACCACCTGGAGTTAAATAGTTAAAGTCCTGGAGTTTTTGCTTTGTCTAGAAAGCAGGCAAGAACACCATAGGCATGTTAAGCTTTCCTTAAGTCCTAAGAGCTAAGCATTCTCATGGCAAATTCCTTGCAACTAACGTAGTGTCTGTTCTTAATGTTTTAGTGGCAAGACCTGATGAATTAGACAATGAGAGGTAGGAAACTAATTGAATCCTCTGCTCTTTGGTACTTTGCTGTAATACCATGTAATTATTACCTGTGCGTGCTTGTGATGTTGGCTGCTTTGGGGGAGGGAGGAGGGAGGATGGAGAGCCATGGTCACAAGTTTTTGACTTGCCCGAGCCGCTGTATTATACTTAATCTTTGCCTCATACCGACCTCCAAAAATGCTTGAGTGTTGTAAAACTTCCCCTGCCACTTCACCCCTGCACCCTTAAGTTAGAGGTGTTGCCCTAAAAGCAGTTTCTTGTGTACAGGCTTCCAGTAGCAGGAAAACAACATATTTTTTTTGAAGTAATGAAGACTTTTGAGACTCCACAGGGAGTGTTTAACAAGCCTGTCCCAGAAGTTGGTACTGCATAGCTATGACCTGACTGCAGCATTAATAAGGGGTTGAGAAATGCTGGGGTGTTGTCTTTCTAATAACGCCTTCCTCTCTGGGCACACCTTTCTGCTGCCTGTGCTGGGTGCACAGCTCCTGATTAAATCACTTGAGCTGCTGCCAATTGGCAATTTTTTTTTTAATTTTTTACAAGAGTACACCAGGAACTGCTGTTCCTCACCTTCGAGTACTTGTGACTAGCAGCTGAGAAGCACTAATAGAACTTGACGGTCCCTCTGAAGTAACTGGATATATCAGATAGGGTACAAGGGTGCTTGTAAACCTTGTGCTGAATTCGTGGGGGTTGCAGTTGACCAAATAAATGCAGAAAAAGCAAACATATTTGCTTGATTTGCTTCTGCGCTGCCCTTTCCCTTCAGTAGCATGGAGACTCATCTAAGCCAACAGTCTGACTGGCTGAACTCACAGCTCCGTAGCTGCTGTGGCAGAACTGGGACCCCTGCAGAACAGTGCTGCTTTTGGCAGGGTGGTGTTTTCAAGGCAGAGTGACCCCCATCTCTGGAGCCCAGCAGCTGGGGCAGAAGCAGAGGCAGCATTGAGACAGGTGTTTGTAGCAGGGGACTTCAGCTCCCATGTCGATGCTGTAATTTCTGTTCCTGAATTCTTCCCTTTGCTGCAGCTGGGGATACGTTCACCCTCGGCTGCTCGGCGTGCCAGAACTCTGTCACCATTTAGCTGAAGGGTGGGTGTCTTGGACCAACTTCTTAAGTAATCTTTTCATTTTCAAGAGGCAGAACCCTGGAAAGGTAAGAACATACAGAGCTCAGCAAATGAAACGTTTGCTGTGGAGCCTCTGCTGATCCCCAGTGGCCTTTTGTGGCGGCACCCAGCGCTGTTGAATGTGTTCAGGCATGGGAGGGTACCACGGGAGGTGTTCCACAACAGCACGGCTGTGATGTGGTGGAGAGGAGAATTGAGAAGCAGAATAATCAGGCTGTGGAGGAGGGAGGAGGAAACGAGTGTCGGCATGTTGGTTGTGCTAGTGCAGTGGAAATGCAGCTGCTCCTTCTGGAGGTTTCTGGCTTTTTAAGTGTCTGTCAGACTCATCTCCCTCACTGCATCTGAGCAGTTTGAGAAAGTGTGTCAGGCTTTTTTTGCTTTTCCTTTTTTGTCTCTTTTGAGGCTTATGCGAAGAGGAATCTTAACACGGTGGTGCTGCCCCTGTCCTGTTCACCTCAGAGTTCTGTTTTCTTTAGCCTCTTCCTTACTTTTCCTGTACCTGCTTTGGGAAGCTCCCCACGTTCAGAGGCCCCTCGCTCTGCTGCCATCGCTCTGGCTCCAGACACCGCTGTGTCTGCGGCAGCCCTGGAGCGGGGCAGTCGGACACTGGGAAGGCTTCGCTGTCGTTAGGATTATGACTGGGGCTAGAATCTGCAGAGAGCAAAAGGGTCAGGAACTGAGTGAATCCACTGCGTAACCCCAGAAACTCACTGTCTCCCATGTCTTCAGTTTTGCCTTCTAGTGTGTGGAGTCTTGACTTTCCTGGCTGTCCTGGGCCGGTATATCCCTGGGCTCTTGCTCTCATACTTGCTGTGTAAGTAGATCTCTGTGCCCATACAGACTTAAAAGTGAGAAGGGGTAGAGACGAGTGGGGTCTGAATGTCTGAGGGATGGGACTCTTCTGCTCAAAAGCTTGTGTGAATGGCTTTAAAATGTAAGATAATACATTCTGCTGGAATGTGGTGGTTCTTGACCAGCACTCAAAAGTCTCCGGTCCAGAGAGAACGTGTTTGGGTACTTGGTGATTGTAGATCTGAGCACTAAGAGGTCGGCCTCCCAATTTTGTTGAATTGGCAGAGGTGATCACACCAGTTCTAACAGCTTTCTGCAGCGTTGCCTTCAGTGCTCAGATCTTGCCTGGTGCGTGTGTTGTATCGCATCACGAAACGATGTTTGCCAAGTAGCATCCTGAACAAACCTCTAACCAGCGTTCCCACTTACCTCAGTGCTCTCCATCCTGCTGTGGCCCCTTGCTGTGTACCACAGACTGGGGCAGCGCATGTACGTGAAGCTGGAGCCAGCTCTGCAGCGGCTGGATTTCAGCGTTCGAGGCTACATGGTATCAAAGCAGCGGGAGAAGCAATGTAAGTTTCCGTACTGTGTTTCTGACCCTTGGTGCCTGAAATGTGAATCTCAGATCCCTCTGCTCCTGCAGCAGGACTGGGCTGCACGTACGGCACGGCAGCCGCCCCAGCGCCCTTGGCAAACGCTCCCCTCTGCTTTGGGCAGGAAGCGAGGCAGCGCTGCCCCCGCCGTTGTCTCCCAGACGCAGCTGGTGTGAGCTCTTCACGGCTGAGCCGCTCTGTTTCTCAGCTGCCAGAAATGTCTGTTCCATATTGCACTGAAAAAAGGGGAAGGACTCGCGGTGCAAGGTGGCTGCTAAACGTGTTCATCGTGTAAAGGGATCAGCCTGAGTCAGAAATGCTCGTGTTGCTCTGCTGTGTGATGTTAGTTCTGAACGTTGCTGGTTCAGGGTTTTCTGCTCGGCATGAGGCTGGCCCTGTACACAGCCCTGCCCTGGCAGCAGTAATCACCTCTGGCTCTCTGCTCTCTGGCAGTGCGTCGCCGAGCCCTGCATCAGGAGGCTGCGGATGATGGGAGTGACAGTGAAGAGGAGCTTGCTGCGTTCTGTCCCAAGGTAAGGAAGGGTTTTGGAAACAGAGCTCAGTTGTACAGAGGAGACTCGCACATTGTGTGAACACACAGCATGTTGTAGCTGAGTTGTGATGGGAAATCGGATACAGATATTCTCCTCTTGGACCTTTCCTGTCCTGTCCCACTCAAGTATTTGATGTTTTCGATTTTATCTCCTGTTTCAAAGCTGGATGACTCTGTGGTTGCCAAGGAGCTAACCATTTCTGACTCGGAGCATTCGGATGCTGAGGTTTCCTACACTGAAAATGGGATCTTCAACCTCTCGAGGGGCCAGACCCCCCTGACAGAGGGATCCGAAGGTGAGAGGAAATGGGGAGGTGTAGGATGCTGAGTGGGGGCCAGTGTGATGGGTGGGAGGGGGTGTGTGTTGCCCCCTGCCCCTGAGCTCTGGCTGCCTGAGGTCTGTCCTGGCTGAGAGAAGATGCAGTTACCTGTTTGTTCAGAACTGAGCCTCCTTGTTAATTCCTGTGGCACTTTAGCAGAGCGGTGGCAGCTGCTCTCCAAAGGCAGACCCAGCTCAGCTGGTCTGTGCTATAGGGATCCAGTGTCCAGTCTGGGAAGTGGGTGCGTCCTGGCAGGAGGGGGCTGGTTCAGCACCCACTGTGTGAGCTGGGAGGTCAGCAGGCACCCAAATAGCGCTGTGAGGTGTGGGGATTAAAGAGGGTTTGGGCTGAGCTGACAAGAGATCTGTCTTGGAGAGGTCATGGCCCAGCTCCTGTGTGCCATGGGCTGTTGGGTGGGGACTGGATGTTTAAAGCACTTTCTCCTCTCCTAGACCTGGATGGTCACAGTGACCCAGAGGAATCCTTTGCCAGGGATCTCCCCGACTTCCCTTCCATAAACCCAGAAGCCACTGGCATAGATGACGAGGACGACACCAGCATCGGGATCCCAAGCCTGGCTTACCGCCCGCAGGTGACAGATGATCTGCACCTCCCTTACGACCAGGAGGAAGCGGTGACGCTGCCGTCGGTGCAGAACCTCACCAACAACATAGCGGGGTTCGTCACCAGGGGGATGATCCAGCTCGCGCTGTCAGGAGCCCCTCAGCCCGGCTCCTCGCGCAGCGACCGTCCCCAGAGGGGTGCAAAGACTTACCTGAGAGCAGCCAGCTCAGACTTGGACACTGATGCGGAAGGGGATGACTTTGAACTGCTGGATCAGTCGGAGCTGAACCAGCTGGATCCCGCAGGCTCGCGGGGCCAGTAACCATCCACTGCTTCCCTCTGGTTTTCTGCTGCGCGTCGTGGAGGGGATCCCAGGAGGAAAAGCCTTGCACAGTTCTCCAGAGCGTCCCCCGTGTGTGAGCGACGTGACAGCCAGCCTGGCTGGGAACACCACTGTGACTCTGTAGACTTGCTTGGTTTTTAAAATAAGCTACACTGGTAATCCTAGGGAAGAGGCGTCAATGTGATAGCTCCACAATCACCCCTGCACTGCCAGGGTGCTGCTTGCTCCAAATTCCCTCACCTGAGACAATGAATCCGGCGTCTGGAGCGCTGGAGCCCGCCGGCCAGGCCAGCAGCAGCGCCAGGACAATCGTGAAGCCGACTCTCGGGACTGACACGTCACCAGGTGAACAGGACTGGTTTCCCCTCAGACTCGGTGTCTGGGACCGAACGCTCTTCTGTCTTCAAGACATGTTTCCTGCTCCCAAAACGTGCACAGAATCCAGGTCTTCTCCCAGCAATATCCAACTCCGGGTAGAAACAAACCCCTTGCTCTTGTTGTGGACACGATGGCGTACGGCCACCACGTTTGTACTTGCAGTGACCACGCGTCTCCGGTTCCAGCTTTCTCGTGATGCTGTTTTGTAACAGACGATGGCAATAAGACATCAACTGTGATCACCAGAGTCCAGCAGAGAACATCCACACCTGGCAGCTGCTCTTGTGTTGCTTTCCTAAAATAATGGACTAACAATTTGCTCCCCCTCCCTGTGCTCCCCTGCCACGTGTCTGGTGTGGGTGGTGCAGCGCTGCGCCTCCCCCGCCGCAACCAGGGTGGTTCCCTGGAGCTGCTCCGGCCCTGGGTACCGCTCGTGGCTGTGGGAGAAGCCGGTGGTGGGACCTGAGGGGGCACACCAGCCTGAGCTG